CAACACAATGTAAGTTTTGGCCTAGAACTTTAAGTAAAGGTAAGACCCGCAAAATTGAGATCCTGGTAAAGATTTCCGATTTCAAGATATCGTGCAGCACACGTCGTGGCGATAAACGATGTGTTGAGGCGTGACGTCAGAGCAACGTACTTAAACAAACAACACCTACGCGAAGTTCACACCCCGCGAACACGTCTCCATACCAAACAATACCAACTCCACATTTCAAGACCCTCAAGATGGCAGGCCAAGCACCGGCACCCGCGCTATACAAGAACATCATTATTTCAGGTGGTGCACGAGGCATCGGTCGAGCATTGACTCGGATGATGCTCGAAGCTGGCCACCACGCCTACATCTTCGACATCGACGAAGAAGAGCTGGAGCACACCACCAAGGTCCACCTCAAGCAGTACTACGCCGACGGTAGGCTGGGTTCGGCGCTCTGCGACCTTCGTGACGTCGAAGACATCCGTGCCAAAGTCAAGGAGGCGGCCAAGTTCTTCAACGACCGCATTGATGTGTTGATCAATAACGGCGGAATCGCGTCTCCGCAGTGGAAGGATGGCAAGACCATGGAGGACCTCTCGACCATCGATGAGTGGAAAGCGTACATCGACACCAACCTCACTGGTCCCTTCGCCATGTCACAAGCTTGTATCCCCTACATGAAAGCCCGAGCATCTGATGTTGAACACGGTGCACACATCCAGAACGCCAACAACTCCAGTCCTGCAGGCCCATGCATCATCCATATCGGCTCCTTCCGTGCGCATCAGTCTGATCCGAACCAGGAGGGCTATGCTTCGAGCAAGTCAGGTCAACTTGGTTTGATGCACTCCATGGCAATCAGCCTGGGTAGCCTGGGCATTCGAGTCAACCTTATCGCCCCCGGACGCATCAAGGTCGCACACGAGAGTAAGGAAGGCGATGAGAACGGGGCTGACTGGGCAGGCCAGATTAGTGAGAAGGACGTCTCTGATCACCCGACCAACAGGGCTGGAAGGCCGAAGGACATTGCTGATGCTGCGTTGTACCTCATCGACGCTGGCTTTGTGACTGGTCAGGACATTACTGTTGATGGTGGAGCACTCAGGAAGAAGAATGCCTAGAATGCGTCAAGCGAGAGTGTTTGAGGCGTACGGAGATTCAACATGAGGAACAAAAATTAGTATAGTTCAGACGAACAATGATACCCGATGAAAACAGCGTCTTGATCAAGATGGAGTGATGGACAGAAAGTTAATGTGTCGCGGAACAAGTCCGCTCGGGTTTAGTTCGCACGGGCCCCTACTTCGCCTAAATCTAGCCTTGATCGTTGACGCATCGCGAAAAGTGACGCGCATCATTTCGACTCGTTGCACGCGCTCTCTCACCCTGATGCTTCCAGGGTTGTACATAGTTGCTTCTCGTGTCATTCCTTCCCTTCGTCAAGTTGGCTTCCATAATTAGCGCCACGGAGCGAGCTACGACCATTACGACTAATGTCCCATTCTTCGCATCGCGCCCACGATACGGTCGGCCCATAGCCCATACGAACTTCGCTGCCTTTACTCTCCGCTCCAGAGCTACTTCTCGGTTTCGCCCATCCATTCGAACGTTTTCGAAGATCTACCGCTTACCCCTCGATCCTCAACCAGTTGCATCTAAACACACGAAAAGCGGCAAGGCGAATCACCTAGCAGAAGCGAAGGTACTCACACGTCTGATATATCAACCCCCCAAAGCTCCAATCGGATCAGCCTCATGCTCCCTTACGCAACCGCAGAACCTTGAACTCTCCGAGCCCAAGAACAAACATACAAAGCCTCCTGCGGAGTTCAATAGAACCGAATTCTTGAGAAGAAAAGACATGTCGTGCAGCGTTGAGGTCGTCACAACGCCTACGGCTGATACGCCGGGAACAACGCTCGTGCTGCGGACGGCAAGCAAGCACTATGTTTTCGGCAACCTGGCAGAGGGCACCCAGCGGGCGATGGTGCAGCAGGGCACACGTCTGCTGAAGGCGCAAGATTTCTTCATGACAGGCAGGACAGAGTGGAAGAATATGGGTGGATTGATTGGCATGATGCTCACATTGGCCGACTCGACCACCAGCTCTTACACCACCGCCATGGATACCTTTCGTCTGGCTCAAGAGCGGGGAAAGAAAGGCGAGGCACCCGCGAAGCCGCATTTCGACATATATGGGCCACCAAATCTGAAACATACACTGGCAACGTGTCGGAGGTTCATATTCAGGAAGGGCATACCCATCAATGCGACCGAGTACGTGAAGCAGTCACCCGAGAAGGACGGCAATGGCACGATAGTCCCGACGTGGGAGGACGACAATATCAAAGTTTGGGCTCTCTCAGTAGCGCCTGTCAACTCTGAAGTCGATGCGCAAGCGGAGGCTGATTTGGAGGCGCGGCGACGGTATTTCGATGAACACGAGAATACATTTGACGGACTCCAGGCTCCCGAAAATGAGAGCCCGGAAGACCGCGAGTTGAGGTACGACCGGATACGGACAGCGACCATCAAGTACATGTTCGATTCGAATTGGAAGATGGATACACTGGCAGAACGCCACATTTCTGAGGTACAAGTGCCTGCTCAAATATTCATTCGTAACCCCGATACACACGGCTTCTCGGCCTACCAAGGTCCAATGCCAGGGGGCAAAGAGCCTCTTCCTGACATTAAAGTCTGGACCCGGACCCCGTGGCCTGGCGCTATGATTCTAGCGCTACCACCGACCAGGCCACTACCAGAGTGTGTTTCGTACATCGTGCGGTCGCATTCAGCTCGTGGTCAATTCGACGTCGCACGCGCGAAAGCGCTAGGTGTCAAACCAGGACCGGATTTCGGAAAGCTCACCAATGGCATATCGGTACCGAACGCGGACGGCGAGATGATTAACCCAGATCAGGTCATGGGCGCTGATAGGCCCGGTCAGGGTATCGCCATCTTGGACATACCCTCAGTTGAATACATTGAAAGCACTCTTCAACGAGAAGAGCTTAGCTCTCCAGAGGTTATGAGTGGCATTCGAGCTATCGTTTGGATGCTTGGTCCAGGCGTCGCAGGTCACCCAGATCTACTCAATTTCATGAACAAGATTCACAACGTAGAACACGTAATATCCTCTCTAGATACTGCGCCGAATCGTATCGCGCACGACTCGGTAGCAGGACAAGCTACGCGACTTGGGCAGATTGATCCGTCAAGATACCGCACACCCGTTTTCGATAATACTACTGTACCGCAAACAAGTATATACAGGACTGGCATGTCGACAGCATCGCCGTTGCCCTCCGGAGCCATCCGCGCTGACCGAGGCTTTGGCTTTAATCTCATGCCGCAGTTTGCCACAAAGAAAAACACTATATCTAGTCTCTTCGTACCCGATGAAGTGGCACTTACAACGCCGCCTGAGGTTCTCGAATTGGCTCAAAAGGCTCAAGCGGAGGTCAAAAGCAAAAACAGAGAGATGCAGATATGGAGTAAGCTACTAGCGCGTCGTGACACCGAGGTAACGACACTCGGAACAGGTTCTGCCCTTCCGTCCAAGTACCGTAACGTGTCTTCCACATTGGTGCGTGTTCCTGGTATCGGCAACTACCTCTTAGATTGCGGGGAGAACACATTGGGCCAGCTTTCAAGAGTCTTTCCCCACGAGGAGCTTGTCGATATCTTCAAGAATCTGCGTATGATCTGGATCAGTCACTTGCACGCCGATCACCACCTAGGCACAGCATCAGTAATTCGTGCTTGGTACCAAGTAGCACACAATGCTGTTCCAAACCCCCAGCCCCTGGACCCTTCCGCGAGCAACATAGACCCTAGCGCATACGGTCTTGCTGTCGTATCCCACAGTGGTATGCTCCAATGGCTTAACGAATACTCAGCCATCGAGGACTTTGGCTACAGTCGAATTCTTCCTCTTCAAATCACTCCCAACGAATATCAGAATGGCTCGAGGTTGTCTATACTGAACTCGTTCGGAAAGACACCATCTGAGAACGCGGCCATACCGAAAAAACAGTATGAGAAACTTTTTGGTTTCAATGAAATCCAAGCTTCCAGAGTAGCACATTGCCACGGTGCCATGGCTGTCTCAATTACATTCCCACGCGATCCGGCAGACCTTGAACAAATCAAGCCACTCAAGGTCAGCTACTCAGGCGATTGCAGACCAAGCGGCCACTTCGCAAAGATTGGAGCAGACACCACAGTCCTCATCCACGAAGCGACTTTCGACGATGAACTCCAAGGCGACGCAAAGGCCAAGAAACACTCCACCACCTCCGAAGCACTCGGTATCGGCGCGGCGATGAACGCGAAATCCGTCGTCCTCACGCATTTCAGCCAGCGCTACCAAAAGATCCCCGTCCTTCAAACCGTCACGGATGGCGAGGAAGAAGACCCTCTGCTCAACCCCAAAGAAGTTGCCGAAGACGTGCCCATGGAAGACGACGACGCCGAAGTCGACCCCACAACCGAAAACGCAGACAACATGGACATGCACCCCTCCATTCCCTCTTCCACCGCCACCCCCGCTCCCGGCCCCGCAAAACCCATCCCATCTCTCCCCAAGGAAACCTCGTCTTCGCTCCAAGAAAACGCCCGCGTCATCAAGGTGCGCAACAAGGATATGAAGGTCGCCATTGCATTCGACTACATGCGCGTCAAGATTGGCGAGATCTGCGAGATGGAGAACTTTAATGATGCGCTCAATGAGTTGCTGGTTAAGGATGAGGATACGGATGCTGCGTTGGAGCCCGCTGCGAATGGGAAGGGGAATGGGAAGAGGGCGAGTGAGGACGATGGGGAGGGGAAGGGGGGGAAAGGGAAGAAGGCGAAGAAGGGGAAGGAGAAGAGTAAGAGAAATAACTGAGGTGGATGAGTGATGATGGTGATGGTGGTGAAGAGATGGGAGGAAGAGCATTGCTGGCGCTTGGCTGGTGGTGCGAGATGTATGTATGATTGTAAAACACGAACCCAAAGAATCATCACTATTCTTCCCCTGTGATGATGTTAAACCCCCACGGTCACCACATGACATTCCGCCATACACAGAGCTCACACAAAATGCTGACCATTCTCACCCCCATGCCTACCTCGGTTGCGCGAGAAGCCCGTCTCCCTAGCGTACCTGTAGATGACATACCAAGCCAGGAACGTGAGTGCCGTCAAGGGCAACGTGATGGCGAGGTAGGTCTTCAATCCGCCAGTCTCGATGTTACTGTTGCCGTTTTCGTAGGAGACGATGTTGGTGCTCATGAAGGTCTGGGTGGGGTTAGCTGGGGATGAAAGTGTATATGAGGGTGAGCTTACGGCGATGAAAGTCGCAGGAAGAAAGAACAGAGTCACCGATGTGATGATCTTCATGGATGTAGCTTCTTGTCTCGTCTTGTTTGCTGTTTCTTCGTTGGCTTTGACGCTGCGGTATTGGAGGGTGTCTTTGAGCTGGTGTGGTGTTAGCGCGAAGGTACGGAAGTGTCACTCAGTGTATCGTTCCAGCTTGCGCTGTTTGCGCGCGATACTTATCCTGGTTTATAAATGCGATGGGATGACTACTTACAAGCTCCTTTCGGTTCGCCAATAGCTTCAGCAGCGACTCTAGTTGAGGGCGTGAGGATTCAAACTCCTTTATCGTTTCCTCGACGCGCGAACGGAACCATGGCTCTGCCTCGCTGCGATAAAACGTGGTGAAACTCCTGGTATTCCCACTATAGTAATCTTCCTTCTCTTGGTGATATGAGAAACTCTTGATGACTTTGACATTCAGTTGCGCGATAAGTAGCGCTTCTTCAACCTTTTCTTGCAAAAGCTGAACTTGTTGGAGGTCATCAAATGTCAAGTCCGATTGACGAGATCGTTCCAGTTCCGGGGCTTCATTCGCTCCACAGTGCCGTTCTTCTGTTGAGATTCCCCGCTCGGGGTCATTTAATGCTGCAGATATTGGGTAGTCCTGGTTTTGGGAGCTTGTCAAGTCGTTGAAAATGCCAAACTTTTCATATGGCCGTGTGCCCGTTGCCGAGAGTGGATCAGGAAGACTCCCAGCTTTATATTTATTGTCTGGCACAGCATTACGAGATTTGTACCCCGATGGAATCTGGTGGCGATCATTGCTGGGTGTGTGGTTCCCTACGAATAAACGTTCTTGGGGCAACGTATAAGAGGTATTGTCTTGAGGTCCATCGCTGAGACGAGCGAAAAGTACCTTCTGTGTGAGGCTCTGAGATCGTTCTTCCAAGTCATCGAGATACCAGCGCCAATTCTCCCCTGACCATTCGATAATCATCGAATGTATTACAAGGGCCATGGCCCGCGCATCTTTGCTTTTCTTTTTGCGTGACATTGTTCTTTGAGCACAAGCTTGGCTGATGCGGCTTTCCAGAACACGATTACCCTTCACTATCACCCACAGCGCGTTACTTGTATCAGGATCGAATGTTTGATATACTGCGACCTGTCGCACAGCCCAAGGCAGAGGGCCAGCACTGTCTCCTTGTTGTCTTTCCACGGCCCTCAGATTATGAAGACGTATATCACCCCATTCTGTGTCAGGAGCTCGGTTTGTGAGTGTACCTGCCCACAACATGGTTTTAAATCGGTCCCTTCTGCAATCGCTGAACAGGAAGCCTTGAGGATGAGGATGACGTCCAAATGGAAATATGAAATCCAGAAACGACGGTAGGACTTGGTGGTAGGTAAACAAGAACATAAGCATTTCCAGGGTTATCTTTAGTGGAGCCCCGTCATGATCAGCGTGTAGAAATCTTGGAAGATGTAAGGATCAAAGTCGTACACACGTTGAATGGACTTACATAAACCGGCAACGAGACTTCTTCTGCTCCATCTGAGAAGCTTCTCCGAGTTCGCGCTTGACATCGCCGAGGCTGTTCCAAACTTTCGGGATCGCGTCTCTAAGGTTCTCAATACCAACGCATCAACCAGAGTTGAAACAAAGGATGCATACCTTTAATCGCATGAGTGAGATCCAGGTAGCTCACAGAAGCTTGTGTTTCATCCACGAATAGACGGTCCTTTTGATGCTGCAATCTGGTATGATACGCTTGCAAGGTGTGAGCACCTAGATCGGTCTCCAAAACGTTTGTTGGGTAGCGCAAAAAGTCTTCGTATGATTTCACCAGTGAATCCATCTTGGCAGATCAATACGATGAGTGGGCAGACGAATGGGTGTTGTGTCTTATATACATGACGTGCTACCCCAGTCTTCCAGCTCAGCCTTCGGAAGATCCTGGCGATCATGCAGTGACTGAGGCAGTGAGGCCCTGCGAGCGCCACCGATAGCCAATAAGAGAGATTGTGTCCCACAGCACATCAAAACGAGGCTATGTGCCTGAAGTCCACGAGAACTCACTTTTGCGCCAATGTCCGAATTCTCAATGAACTGGACCGAGGATGAGGTCAACACACGTATTAAGAGAGGGACACATTGAGATGGGGTAGGAGAGTATGTGGAGGATGCCCGCCATGACGGAGCGGCATGGGTGCCTACCGTGCCACCCCCACCAAGGTCCATCGCATCACCAAAAAGTTGATACCGTCAAACTTTGACTGGTCAAGTATGCAGATATCATTGACTGTCTGTTTCTGGCTGTTGCATGTAAATTACTGTAGATTTCCTGCTGCCCAGCGCGTCGAGTTGAACAGTGAGTTCATGGAGTTCGTCACGTCTAACCCAAATGCAGCGCCGATGTCGCCAAACGCCGTTTTACAATGGGTATCATGGCCAGTAACCCTCAAATAGCAAGAAGAGAAAGAAAATACATGGAGTAATGCTTAGGCGTCCGGTGCGATTCAACACGCTGTCCGAAGGGGAGAAAGCGTTGTGTAACGTTGGTACATCGCGGGGGGTGCTCCCACCTGCACATCACGCACTCGTCATCCGCCTGGATTCTGGTATATGTCGCCACCTTCTTTTGATTCTCGCGCGCGAGCCGTATGATTTTTTTCCGGAGCGACTCTGGATGAGGACTCTTGGATGGTAGACTTGATCGTGGGTATGTGAGTCTCGAGACGGTTCCTGAACGAAGCTTCCTTCAGCCGCTAGGCTCGTTATCCCAGGAAGGATCAGTACTCGCGAGTAGCATCTTGAAGACATTGCCGGTAGAAGGTTCCGTGTCGACAATGTCTATGGGAACTTTGTAGTGCTTCAGTTCATCGTTGTCGAGGATCTCCAGGCGCTCTTTCCCGGTCTCATCATCTCCAAAGCGGATGAATTGGATGCCAACATGCTCAAACCTGCCAGTTTCAGCAAGGTGATGGGCTAGGCGGGTGATGTGTCCTTGTATGACTGAAAGACAATGTTGACCTGGCGACCAAACACCGTCGGTGAGAATGTAGATGTTGACTGGGGGCTTTTCCACTACTCGTGGAGACCCGAATGTTCGCTTGTTTGAGGGAGTTTGATGCTGGTTCTGGTAGTATTTGGGAAGAATATCGCTCAGCGCAATACCCATCTGACACTGACCATTGGGTTTCACCTTCTCCAATCTTTTGGTGAGTCCTTTGCGATGCTTCTCACGACCATTAAGTTCGCGACTATTGGCGAAATGTAACTCGATGCCGTCTCGATCCATGGGTTTGACAAGGTACGCTAGAGCCTCGAAGACGCTTTTGACTTCACCCCAGTGTTGCCGCATTGATTCGGAGTCGTCAATGAGAAAGATCTGTGGGAGCTCCGTCAGCAAAATCGCACAATTCCATTTAAGCTCATTTAAGTACCTGGTCTCTACCATGCAGTCTATTTAGCCACTCCTCGCCTGGTAGTGTGGTGTATATGTGCGCCTTCTTCTTTCTTATGTGCTCCAGAACCTGAGCAATGGAAGCTGAAGGACGGGTTTCCTGGCGGACGGGCGCATTGGGCTGCGGAGCAGCACTATTGATAGGAGACAGCGGACTCCAGTGCGTCTCATGCGTAGTATCAGGAGCTGGACTGTGAGTATCGCGCCTCGGTATCACTCCCTGTCTAGTCATCGATGCACCAGAAGTTGGCCGAGGAGAACGATCTCCACTGATGGTTGTGCGTCTTTCTGGAACACGATCCGGGTGATGCCCATGTACATCGCTGGGCACCGGCCTCGAATCCGCGTTCACAGTAAAGCCTAAGCCGTTCGTCATGCTTGGGGAGAGATTGGCAGGCACCGAGTGTCGAGTGTACTTGTTCGATGCGTGAGGTCGCGTAGGTGTATCGTGGATTGGTGACTGAGCTGGTGGTGTCGCTAAGTCTATTGCTCGCGTAAGACCATCGTAAACTGTCCCCGCGTCCGGTCTTTTGGTCGGATCTTGCATCATCATTCCGCTGACAATAAGCAGGACCGAGCCAACGACGTTGTCTATGTTCGCTCGGCATCGGTAGTTCACCTCCTTGTGCATGTCGCCCACCGCGGAGAGTACTTTCGTAGTATCGTGAAAGCAGCCGCTATAGCCTGTATTCCTGAGTGTCGGAATAGCATCAGCAGCTTCTACTCGTCGGTAATGGTAGTCGTCCAACCCTCTTTGGCCAAACACAGACCATACCGCGGCTTCACTAATCACGCAAGCCAAGGCCCAGATATCCTTAGCTGGGCGAGCTTGCTTGATGCTCTGTTGTCGAGACCTGTCGGTCTCCCCGCGGAAGTATTCTGGCGCACCTTGAACGTATGTTAGTCGAGGCAAGTCTCAAGCTTGACGTTGACATACTGTACATCTTCGTTCCGTGCACATCACGAAGTCGCGTCTCGTCCGACTCATCCGCCACCACAAACCCGGCGAGACCGAGGTCTGCCAGTTTGAACGAGACACTATACGGGCTGTTCCCGCGGACTTCGGAAACGAGAATATTGTCCGGTTTGATGTCGTTATGTAGTCTTCAAAGGTCAGTTCGCAGTAAGAAAACGGGAAACCCCCGCTGTTTTGCACGTACCCGACTTTGTATGAATGAGGATTGTGCGGATTCGGAAGGTGATGTATGCATGCTATTGGCTTGATGAATTGTATGAAGTTTTTCCAGAATTCGAGGATCTCGTCTTTTGTTGTCGGCGGTTCGGTTCGTTCGAAGAAGTTCGTGAGTGTGCCGCCGCTCACATATTCACGCAGTATGTTACAAGTTTCACCCTGTGTCCATGAACCATAGAAGCGGGCCATATGTTGCATTGCATCTCGGCCACTCGGATGACTTAGTAGGGTTCGGTAGGCTTCGACCTCATTGTTGTGCAATTTGACATGGTCCGATAGGCTCGATTTCAAGATGAAGACGTTGGTAGGGGGTAAATTCACTTGATCCTTCGAGAGAAAAGAAGTCAGTCGCTTGCTACAAATGTGTTGACTTGTGCGCGCGCACGCTGTTGACCTACTGCGACAAGCTGGTTGTACTCCTCAAACACCTCCACTTTGAAGATGATCGCGTCCACACCCTCTTTCAAAAGTTCTTTTTGCTTGAAGGGCACGACCATATTCTGGTGTAGCCATGTGTCGTGCAGCTGGTCGAAAATGAGCCGTTTCGGACAGAACTTCCACTGTGCTTTGTAGAACTTATCGAATATGTCTTGGCAAACGTCCGGCCATGCGTGGCAGGTCAGAAAAGGTAGTCCTGCGTCTGCCATGTGATCGTGTTGCACGAACATTGGTAGGTAGATACCCTTGTTTATCGAAAGTAGGATTGCGAATACAGCTAGATATCTGGTTCGGACAGGATCCTCAAGGCCGGTGGAGCTGCCTACGTATAGCAAGAGCCGTCGCAGTCTTTCCGTAGTAAGATAGGACCGAAGTCTATCTATCGATACGATCGACCGGGTGACCAGTGGCAGGTGCTCAGCTATAGCGGCCGTCGTGCAGTCGTCTACGTGCTCGAGGAAATCGGGGAGTTCGCGCTTGTCGTACCCCATAATGGCTGCTGAGGACGGTGCGCATCAGGTATTCTCGGTTGGCGCGAGTCGCGACAGGTATAGGAAAGGTTAGGAGGGGAAAAGAGGCGGTATGAAGTTTGCACGTAAGCTCAATGTGAGGTTGGAGCTTTTGCAAGTATGCGCGGCAGGCTGAAGCCAGGGCCCTCGGGGGTCTGCTCCATGTCTGCGCTAAAGCGAGCAGGACAGGACCCCGCCCGCAGCCTCAAGCCACACTCGACCGGACCTGCATCAGCTGCATCATCGTCCTTCGTTGAGCGTGCCATCGTTCATCTAGAAAAAGAAATACTTTCTGGCAGGAGATGTAATGAGAGGAAATAAGAGTTATCGCGAACAAAGGAGAGGTGACAGCAGGAAAGTTGGCGGCCACGCGGCTACGCGGCTGAGCGACTGTGACAGCTACTGTCTACAAACCTACCACGATAAAATTACTACGATTTAAAAGGCTGCGCATATGTTTTTGATAAGGATTGATCGATAATCGGAGGTTTAATGACAGGATAGATCTGCCCTGTGGACACGACGTTGGCTTTTAGGTTGAACAACGTGGAACCGCCAAGACGCATCGGTCCGCTGTTGACCATGGCTCGAAGCCCAGGCTTCATGATACGCTCGCAAGTTTCGACGGCTTCTACAGCGATCCTGATTCTGGAAACCTCGGCTAGATCCTTTTGGACGATCGGATCAATTCTCAGATCTAACGGCTCTCATCTCGAGCTATGCGAGAAGACAAACTCATCATACGAGCGCATGGAGATCTGAATAAACAGGATCACGATCTAAAGTTGTCTAGAAATCTAAGAGTCTAATGTACAACAGAGGACACATCGTCATGGTTCCCATTCCTGCTGCCCTGGTAGTTTAACGCCGCAGAAATGAGACTTCCCAAGAGACCACCCACATACCCGAAAAACAACATTGCAAAGACAAACCACACCTTTTACCAACAGGGAATGAAAGCCAACGCATGTAACATAACTGACTGACACGCAACACAATAAGAGATCAGGCCTCCCCAACTGCTTCGGACCGATCGTTCGACCGAGCTTCCCTTCTAGCGAAGTAATATATGAAGTACCATGCGACAAAGGTCAAAGCTGTCGCAGGGAGAGCAATCATGAGATATAGTCGGAGACCTTGCATTTGCAGATCTTGTTTACCATGTTCGAAGTTAAGAATGTCAGTGCTCATGAACGTCTGGAAAGCTTTAGTACGTGTATTCAGCATGTCATACCAATCACTTACGGCGATGAAGGTTGCTGGAAGAAAGAAGAGGGTAACGGTGGTGATAACCCTCATGGAGACGGTCTCCTGTTTCGTCTTCATGGCAAGATCTTGCATCTTCACGGTCATAATCTCCATGCGAGCCGCGGATTCTCGAGACTCTTTAGCGTAAAATTCGCTGGCTTTAGAGCTTCGGTGCTGTAGTATACCGCTCATCTAGAATGCAATATTAGCATATGCTCAGTCGCTCGCTTCGATGGATGTGGCCTTGATGCATCCCACTATCCTCCTAACTGTGTGATGATGCGAGAGAGTACGGGTACTTACCAAGTTCTTCCGATTAGCCAGAAGGTGCAGCAGTGTCTCAGTTCTTGACTGCAGCATTTGCATGTCTTTCTCTACTCCAATTATACCCTTGTTGAACCGATGAAGATTAGCCTTGCAGCCATCCTTCAATTCTTGAGGGAAGTCGGCATGCTCTGCAACTTCATCGTAGTGCAACCTCAGTTGCTCAAGAACTTCAGTGTTCAGCTTGAGCACAAGCATGGCTTCTTGTGCCTTCTCCTCAATATGCTGTATAGCTTGAAGGTTCTTGAAAGTGAACTTGTCATCCGTGTCTGCTCCGCCATCGGAAGACACAGAGGGTAGCTCTGGCGATACCGTTGTTTCAGGGGATGCTAGCAACGTCTTCTCGTCTCCGAAAGTTGAGCTGCTGTTGACTGTATTAGATCGCAAAGGCCGTGTTAGCAATCTGCGAAGATCATTCACGGCCGATTTCCAACGTTTCGCATCGGGCGAAGTGCTTGCTTTCTGTGCTGACGCCCAAACACTGCAAGGTTGGTTATCAAAGGTAGTCGTAGTGGTGCGTGTATATGTCTGTGGGCTTTCTCGCAGTGTGTTTGACCGTGTCCAGGCTTGTCCTGTCAGAATCGGACGCAATGTGTGAGATCGTGACAAGCTGGCAAACGGGCCTACGCTGGTTTTTGGGCTCATAATCTTTGGCGATGACAGCGGGGATGGCTTCCTCTCGACCTCGAGGGCCGAAACACCTCTTGTCAAAGCTTGCAACTTATCTTCGAGATAATTGACATACCACCGCCAGTTCTCTCCGGACCAATTGCACAACAACAGATGTGTTTGTAGTGCGGCCGCAAACGCATTACTGCGACGCTTGAGGGGATTGCCGCTTTGTGTTGACTCGTCAGACACTTCAGTCACACGCTTCTGGATTTCTTTGTTTGCCTTGACGATGATCCAGAGCATTTTCCCATTTTCCACGTCGAAGGTATGGTATACAGCGCACTGGCGGATGGACCAAGGTTCTTTTGATCGAGGTGGCGTCGGTTCCACGGATCTCAGATTATAGCTGAAGCGAAGATCCCTGCCCGAGCGGCCTAGGTCTGGTAGCACACACGCCCTGTCATAAGACGCTAACCGGTACTCTGCTTTCAAGCCACTGAAGTGAAAGTCTTGTGCTTCTTCCTTCAGCCCGAAAGGAAATACGAAATCTAGAAAGGAAGGAGAGACCTGATAGATTGTACACAGAAAGCTGAACATGTCGTGCGTGATCTTCAATGGTGCCCGAGCATGGCCAGCTGTCAAGAATCTGTCATCATCAGCTGAGTCTCTAGAAAAAGAAAAAGAAAAAGCCAACTAACATGAAACGACATCTCGGATCGGCAGCCTCAGGTGTTAATGAGTGTCTACAGCTAAGTATGAGTTCCAATTCTCGTTGGTTTTTGACGCATGCCGGGCTGAAGCCTTGAGTGGGGTCAGTACGTCGAAGATTGGCCAGTAATAGAGTGCTTACGATTGTCCAGTTCGCGATAATCGAGGAAGTCCACAGCTACCTTCTCATCTTTGAACAGAAACTCGGATTGTGATTGTATCCGAGATGCGTATCCAGCCATACTATGGCTAAGGGCACATCGTTGTGTGAGATTCTGAGGATAGCGTCGGAACTCCTTGCATGATGAAACGAATTGATCCATTGCAATTGCATCGAAGGTCAGTAATGAAACTGGAAAGTGCCTCACTAACAAAATTGGGTAAACCAAGTTATATACCAGCACTAGACATGACCGCAGCACCGAGTTCCAAGTCCGGTGTTGCCCTCATCGCCACGACATCCTGTCTAGCTAGCCCCGCGGCAGACTATCATGCAGCCCGCCCCCACAAGATCGTTGCCAGCATTTCTTGTCAATCATCTTCCCACCGTCGACCTGCAAGCGTTCTTCGCTGATTCTGCCTCAAGGTCAGAATATGTACAATTTCTGATCACACAATAATTCATACCGCATCCAACTTCTTCGGGATTCGGAACTTGTACGTATCATTGATGACCTGCACACTATTCTCAGCACATATCGACACAAATTTCAGGATTTCCTACTTGAATGTAGAAGTCACCCGAACCGTGCAGCTCGCTCAGGTATTTCTGCAAATCTGCCTGATCAAGACGATAGACCGGAAAAGTATCCTCGACGTAAGACATTGCGTAGGAGGTGTACGATGGGCGGATGAGAGTGCTAGGGTACGATTGGTATTGGAGTAAACGGATAGAAAAGGCTATACCGGTGAGGTCTGCGACATTCCTGAGGTGCACTTTAGGGACCTATGTCCTTCGCGCATTCGCGATTGCCAGATATACCATCAGGCTGGACTGCACCAGTACGTGAGGCTCTGCTTCACGGAATTCATCGCGAGTCCTCCAGCTTCATGTCGCGAGGCTGTCGATATCGCTCGGGTCCAATTGACGAATGGCTGAGCTAGGCGTAATTGCTCAACATACTGTAATGCATGCACCTGCAACATGAGAGTATGAGATGACATGTAGTAGGTTTTGAATGGTCAAACCTGCAGAACCGGTGAACTGCATCGACTGCGCCTCGCAGCCTTCATTGCCTAGTGCGTGACCCTATTGGCGAGGCTCAATGTGAGCAGCACGAGGGCGGAGACGAACGCCATTGTGACCTCAGCAGATGTCGGGGCAGACTCTTACATACATGTGAATATATGCATCAGCGGCACATTTCCCCGTTCAGTCGTGTCTGAGACGCATCACATACAAGGTCTGCTGAGGTTCACTGCCTCGACTTCGCCTTCCAAATCGTGGGGGTCCGGACTGGACTGCCCATGGTATAAGAAGGGTGGACCCAGCACATCGACTAAGATCTCATGAACTTCTGGACAGAACGAGATATCAGTATATCGGAATGGTGTTGCGGCAAGGGGATGGACACAGTCATCTGCATCTGCGGAGTATGTCCGCTGTGTTACGGGTATGACGGAGCTATGTACCTGGGTACCCCGCTAAGAGTCACTGCCCCACCAAAATTTTGATACTGTCCAAACTTTGGCTCGTGAACTGCGCACATGTTCTCAGCCTCCAAGACTATATAACACGCTTTAATTCTTCCCAATAAAGAGGGCACGATGTCGAAACCAAAAGACCTACGCAGTCTCATCGACCTTACCAAAACCACACAAGCACTTCTCACCCACTACCAATCCTCTCTCGCGCCCACCAAAGATGCCGCTCCTACGTCCGAAACCGAGATAGCAGATCCTCTCGATGTTATCAGAGCCTCGACTAAGCTCCTCAAATCGCATACGACGACGCTCTCACTCCTCCTCATCAACCCGCCCCTCACACCCTCCGCGATAATTGCGAAGATAGGCGATGTGACCTCGGGTCCACTCAACAGCATGGTGACTGCGGCTTCGTATATACCACGAGAGGGTCAGAAGGGCGATATCGGGGACATGATGCGCACAGAAGTCAAAGCGCAGGTACGGAGATTGCTGGGGACTTGGGGAGAAGTTCTCGCCATGATCCTGAAGATGGCAGAGAAAAGACAAAGCGCAAAAGGCAAAGACACCGGTCCAACTGAAAGCGAGAAGCAAGAAGTCTTGTCCTCGACTGGTGTATTATGGGATGTATGCGACGCGCTGCTGAAGCTATGCGAAGACGGCGTTGTAGGACTAGTAGTCAAGAAAGCGCAAGAGTACCGCGCAGTCCTACTCGATGCGATCGAGGAACTGAAAGAATGGGGCGAAGACGTGGACGACGACGATGACGAAGCAGAAGGCAGCGACGATGAAGATGAGATCTTCGGCGCATCGAATAAGATTGGCAAGGACAACAAGGAGCTGAAGGAACTGCTGGATACCAGTGTCAAGAAGCTGAAGATGATTGGTATGCTCTACCAAGCACTCATCAAGAGGAGGTTGAAGACTTATCCTGCATCGTCTACGCTCGAACCGACCGTCACAACGAACGGTGCGACCCCGCCGCCCTACAAAAAGTTAGATGCGCTTGTGAATACCCTCAAAACGATACCTGAGACGGTCGACGATATTGCAGGCGCGTTCTACGATCTCGACGAGGACGAAGCGAAAGAAACTTTGGATAAATGCTGTGGTGAGGCAAACAGCGCAATTGAGCTGGTCAGGCAGAGCTGGGCTGGCGAAGACGATGAGTTCACGGCATGGTCTGGCAAATGGGCGACCGCACTCGAAGCTGCGTGAACAAAGGAACATAGCCCGAGCCCAATTCAATATCACCAACCACTCGCGCACAGCGTCAGACACTCAGCGATTCAAACGAACGATACGGTATCAATTGCGATATACAAGCGATTGTCGCATTACAAATTCCTAATCAACCAACGCGCCCTTCGCATCACACCTCCAGGTATTCGACATCTACAATCCGAAGACAGCAGCCATACCCATGGCAACGACACCGTAGCTAGCAAGCTTGCCAGCAGCAGCGTTCTCAGTCTGCTCTGCGACACCAGAGCTGGTGGGCGACATGGAGCCGCTCATGGTGGGGGATCCGCTCATCATGCTGGACATCATTGAGCCGGTCATGGAAGCGCCAGATGAGGGAACGGCAGTGGGGATGTCGGAGAGGGTTACACCGGCGGCGGCACAGAGGGAGGAGACAGCGGGGGCAAGGCCTAGTAGTCGCGTTAGATATGGACGAAGATGATAGGTATGTAGGGTATGCAAAACGTACTGGAGATTTCACTCTGCTCGCATCGCTCGGGTGCGCAAGTGAGGAGCGAGTTCTCAATGGCAGAGCGGCCGCTGGTGCACTGGCAGTTTGTGTCTGTGACACCGCAGTTGGAGCTGGGGAGGGCAGCGACGAAGCAGGGGATCTGTTGATTGTTGTGTTAGTTGGTGATGCTACATGAGATGTGCCATATCGCGATCGCGATCGTCTTGATGTGGAGATGTGGGCTCCGCAGTCCGATCCGATCTCAATAGGGGAGGAAGGGCAACATACAGCGCACTGGGGGATGCCGCTCAAATCCTGAGCACCAACGAAAGCGAGCGAAGCCGCGACGGCAAGGACGGTAGCCTGGAAACGCATCTTGATTATATGGTATAATATGTATTGGTGATGGTATTCGATATGTGAAAGACGGACTGGAGTGAGGGAATGTCGAAGTGAGATGGAACAGGGTTGAGCGAGAAAAACGATGGGACGGAGAGGGGGTCTATGTACTGATTTCGATTCTAGGAACCAATACCTTGGTCCAAGCCTGCTCCCTAACGCAGCAATAGACTCGTGGAGATTAACATTGGAGTTACCCGGTGATCGTCCCCAGGGATTGCCGCGGTTTGTCGCAGAGCCTTGGTATGCAGTTGACTATCTTCCCCAGTACCCCTCCCTGGGCGCTGTTGGTTTCCTTGATCTACTGCGCCTTCGATCGCACCTACGTACTCTAGAGGGGTGTATCTCGTCGAGTTACGGGCGACGGATGCGCAGCGAGAGCTTCGCATAGGTGTGTACTGTGCCTCGGAAGGAGGGTTAGGTTGCAGTTAGAGTTTGGGATGGCGCCGAACTTGCGGTCCTTTAGCGTTGGCTAAGCGGCGTGCTGGCACAGCTGTGGAGATGGATGGTGGGAGGCGGCCTTGCTTTTCTCTGCTCTGCGCAATGCGACGGTGCGATTTCTTGTCGCCGGCCCAATCAGGCGGCCTGCGGAGCTGTGTCAGGGCTGTTTTGGCAGGCCCTGCGCCTGGCAATCCAGACCTTTTTCTCTTGGTTGTGTAGGGATGTTGTACCCGATAGAACACCACAACGGCTTTTGCTGACTTCTCCTCTTTTTCCTCTCTCACATCACGCTTGCTGACAGCCTTGTTAAATTGCTTTTCTGTTTGCACAGCGAACGCTTTGGGGGACATGCGTTCTTCGTGCGGCACCGGATACCGACCCTGCGTTAGACGAAAGTATGTCCCCTTGGCGTGCGGATGGGGAAGATGCCGTCGACGGTTCCAATGGCACGGTGGCGTAGTGCACCGCTACGGTAGACTGGACTTTGGACGTGGAGCTTCCATCATCGAACGCTTAGTCTTTTGGAGTAACATCTTGCGCTCCGCTACTTAAAATTGTATGTACATCATTGAATGTCGACAAGATTGCACGGAATTTGATGCCACTATACCGCTACCAAGAGCGCCGGGTTGTGTTGCTGACGTCCTGGTTCCGACAAAGGAAGGCGACGCGTGAAAATGGATCGCAAGATGCAGGTACGCGATAAGCGGCATGCAGGCCTTAGATCACTGTCCCCACCAACATCCCTTTTCCCCTTCCACAGCACTTCAACCTCCCTGTCATAGAACTCTCGCTCACAATCCCATTGTTATCTTTCACCCTCTTCCGAGTATCGACGATCGATAAAACCTCGTCTCGAGCCGAGAGTTCGTAGTTTATCTTCCATCGCGACGATCCCAGGTTCTCGAATCAGCGCACGGCCCTTCTCGCGGCATCTGAAACACAGGGCTCGTGAGTCGCTCGCCTATGCAAATGGACAATGTCGTCTCATATTCCTTTTGCATGGTGATGAAATCATGCTTTTCTGCATGTTGCATGTGAAGGTGTCAACGCCGTTGACGCTGC